CTTTGGTTAGTGATTATGTCTTTTTAGCCTGAGGTCGTGAGTTCAATTCCCACCCATTACAGGATATTAGTTCTGTGTTTGGGTGTGATTTATCTATGAGATGCATGTGTTTGGAAATATTGTATTTATCAGCACCATACTGAGTTACCATTACACAGGCTCTGACTAGTTTAGTATCAGATAGCCTTGTGTAAGATGTGTTCAGTTATTACATTATTGTGTATTTAAGTTGTGGGCCCTCCTTATCAAAGTCAATATCAGGTCAATTAAAGTCAGGGACTTAAATTGGTTTAATTTATCGCTAAATTAAAATTTAAATTAAATTAAAATGAAGTTTTATGCAAGGCGAGTCACGCATCCATTGAACTTGACCTGTGTAGAGCTCATACATACATGTATTACTTGCATCCTTTACGATATCTTGTCCAAAATTAAATACTTAATTAAATACGTTTGAAACGGTTTATTTCTTCAATATTGACCTTTGTGGCCTACACGTTTTGGTGATACACTTTACATAGCTATTTCTATTCATGGAAATCGTAGAACATCGTCAAGCCAATCGAATATAGTTTTGATGGCATGTTACTAATTTGTGGGACATGGGAACTACATCATCTGACTATTATATTTAAAAAATATACAGAAAAATAATTCATAGCCCACTAAATAGAGCCTGTATCCTCGTACATCTCGTGTTGATTTTTCGAGTTATATATTTAATATGATATTTAGTTATCGTGTGGTATTTGCTAAAATAATGTATTGTGACATCGCTTCGACATTCTGTGCATTAAAATTTATCCTGTGCTGATAAGCAACTGTCTTAATCGTAACAAGTTAGTATTATTACCGATGTTTATGAAAATGACAATGAGATGACGATGTGATGCTCTTTTATTTACACACAAACATACGAACCGAACATACATACATAGATACATACATACATACATACATACATATCAAGCTAACAAAAGCGTGTTAAAAAAAGCCGTACAGTTTTTTTGTTTGATTATTTGGCAACTCACAACCCGAAATCTCAGGAATCATCAGTCAGATGTGAATAATATTATAAACAATAATATTTCATTTGATAGAGTATTCGCTGTGAAATAAAGTGTAAAATAATAATATATTAAAGTACCTACATCACAAATTTCTATTCTATATTTTTTAAATAATTGTAAATTTAACTCAAGACGCTGAAGGTTACCTACACTATTGTATTATACATATTATTTTCATTAAAGTTACTTTGAAAGGTCCGTGCGGTGACGGATTAAGAATACAGAGTGTCAACACCCCTATTCATTCCGCGGGTGTCGTAAGAGGCGACTAAGGAACTAAACTACGCAGGACTACAGCACTGCAGAGAGAAGGAACACTTGAAACAAACCCTATACCAACTCGTCTGGCCAGCGTGGTATAGTAGGCCAAAACCTCCTTTCTAAGGAGAGGCCTATGTTCAGCAGTGGACTAGAAAAGGCTGTTGATGTGATGATGTGAAAGAGTCATAAGTTACATAATTTGGATACTATCGCATCTAATTACTTTAAATATAACACGGACTAATAAGTTGAAAAATATTTCTACCAATATAACTACGAGTATGAGTTCCAGTAGTAAATGATATCGGTAATCGATTTAGACGTATCATGGAGTATACTGGATAATACGTCTAAATCTACTCGTAGTAGATAAGTGATAAAAACTTAGTGTTTTTTTTAATATTCATAAAAATTGACGAAAATCAAACGTTTTTAGAATATTTATTTATTTAAATTAGTATAACAAATATAATTCGTGTTGTGACGGATTAAGAATACAGAGTGTCACCACCCCTATTCATCCCGTGGGTGTCGTAATAGGCGACTAAGGGAGCAAACCGCGCAGGACAACAGCACTGCAGTGAGAAGGAAAACTTGACACAAACCCTATACCAACCCGTCTGGCCAGCGTGGTATAGTAGGCCATCCCTCCTCCTTTCTAAGGAGAGGCCTATGCAGCAGTGGACTATTAAAGGCTATTGATGTGATGTGAATATAATTATAGTTCCTTTTTAATCATTTTTTTTAAGCATCCAACAAATCGAAAAGTTAAAATTTCTTCAACAAAAAAAAAATGTCAGATTATTTTAGTGTCTTTCACATATTCCTCCGTTACCTATATTACCAAATTATAAAAGTAGTGCTGTATGCATGATAAACTAGCGTCTAGACAATATCTACACAATGTATAGCTAGACTGTTGGCTTTGTCAAGGTACCCGCGGCCATTACTTCTACAAATGTATGTGTTAAGCTTTTTATCTAAGTCACAACGAGTTGCAAAGAACTCGTGATGTTGGAATGAGGAGAAACTGGTGTCCCCATTGCACATCATACCGTTCTAATGATTGCAGAGAATAACTTTATTTATAGGTTAGGTGAGCCGGACCACAATACCTCGCAAATTAAAAAAAATACGTTTCTTGTTGGCAATTGCTTGATACAGAATTAACAACTGTATAGGGTCAAAATAATTACTATAATGGTATATGGACAGCTTGCAGTTTGTAATGTATTATGCGTTTATCGCGTATACGAACACACATTGTTTAATTACATGCATACAAGAAGTACTCGTATGTATACATGACATATATTGGCAGCTGGAATCAAACCATGGACTTTGCTTTTTTTTTAACATTATTGCAGTGAAATGATCGTCACTTTCATGTAGTGAGAACTCTATTTATGCGAGTTTTATTTTTTATGGATAGAGATAGAGTATTTTCTGCCGGAGCACCAACCCAAGGGAGTTAATAAAAAAGTATAAGAAATGCTGAGATGGCTGCGAAGTCTGCATTCGAAGTGTGCATCAGTAAACTTTATGGTTTCAAATCTGCAACCACAGGATAGCAAGTAACCGTCAGGTATTACGCTACCGACATAAACATAATTTAAGTTAGCTAACCCAGTTACAGCGAGTGCAGTCTCCGCGTTGTGGTATTCAGGCCTTTGCCTTTTCCCTTCGCGACTAACAGACCGCGATACTTGCTTGCATTACGTATAATTTTACCACTAATTCACATTAAAAAACTACTGACATTGTTTAATTCTATTAACTACAATAAAAATCAAAATTTGTCAAAATTTTACTTCTAACTTTAGTCCCGAATCATCTCTATCATTTCCTTTCTGTCCTTACTAATATTTATTTTAATAAAGAATCTGATTTCTTGGAAGATCTAATAATTCTAATTCACTCTTAAATAGTTTAATATTATATTGTTAAATGCAATAATTTACAATTTAAATCTAAGATTAACTGTGACTGTTGTTTCCAAATTTTTTTAAAATTAACCCTCTTTGGACCTGTTTTGGTTTTAATGGGATTTTTTTTGTGATATCTGTGACAGTTAAGCCAGTAGTTATCGTACCTACTCGTACATAAAGCCTACAGGCACATGACTGAACGTCCTAAATCATATTCGTGCTTCGTATTACCTAATCTATACTAATATTATAAAGCTGAAGAGTTTGTTTGTTTGTTTGTTTGTTTGAACGCGCTAATCTCAGGAACTACTGGTCCGATTTGAAAAATTCTTTCAGTGTTAGATAGCCCATTTATCGAGGAAGGCTATAGGCAATATATCATCACGCTAAGACCAATAGGAGCGGAGCACCAATGAAGAATGTTTGAAAAACGGAGAAAATTTATTACCAATGAGAGACGCAGATGAAGTTGCGCGGGTCAGCTAGTTTAATATATAATATATGTGATAGATTATATGTAATATTATGAAGAGTTTGGATTGTTTTTTTTTCTATGGTCCTGTGCTAAGGAAGGTCACTAGATAGAAATATAAACTAATCACACAAAACATTCTGCTGTATTTCAAGCCTAGGTATGGTTTTGAGTGTTTGAATTTTGGTGTGTTACAAACACCAAAATTCAAACAGTCACCTTTAAAAAAGTCATTATGTTTTTCCAGTTTTCTCCTAGTTTTTTCCAGTTTTTGAACAGGAGATACAAAAGTTGAAAATAACCTTTATATGCAATACATAAGTCAATTAGCGATTACGAGAAATTTACTAGACGTAAGCACAGATGACAATAATAGTATTGAATATTCCCTCAAATCCTCTCAACTCTTTCTTGGCAGAGATTAGGGAGAATATTTGAAATTGGGATACATAAAAAAATAATTTAAAAGGAAGACAAATGTTACTATATGCACCGTTTGAGCAACACCACCCATCTTGTGACTTCAGCATCAACAGCCTTTAATAGTCCACTGCTGGACGTAGGCCTCTCCTCAGAAAGGAGGTTTCTCGTGACTTACTTTTGTTAATTTAGTAAATAAATGAGATTTAATTATCCTTCAAAACTATTCCTAAACTGAATGAATAAAATGTACTTGAAAAATGCCAGCAATAAAACAAAATCCCCCTTTTTTTTAAATCACTTGATCGAAACTTTGCACTAAGAGTATCGGATGCAAGAAGTTGATGCACTGAAAGGAGACAGAAAGCGTGGGATAAATGCGTAACTAGGTTTTTTTGCCCACGATCTCGTATAGAGCAATGGTATCTAAAGATTTCTGTGCTCTTCTATAACTTTTTCTATCTTTTCATGGTTCGGTTCTCACTTCAATGAATTTAAAAATAGAATGGGCTGTAATTTTCACAAATAACTATATTTTATAATTTAAACTGTGCGTTTAAAGTTCGAACGACAAATCCATAAATTGACAGTTAGGAACCAGACGTCGTAATATGTGAAAACTAATAATATTGGAACTATTTAATACACGAACTAACCACATTTTATGCATATAATATTATGAACCTCGGGTAAAAATACTCGAGGTGTGGTACACGACAAGAATTTGGTTAATAACAAAAATAATGAAAACCATCAAACCCTTAAAATAAATGTCATCCTAAATGAAACACTGGGCACTATTACTGATGAGGAATATCACAAAATATAAATAAACACATAATACCGTACCGCTTAGATCAAAGATTATATCGTGTTCGGCGACGGCGCTGGCAACGGTCGCGAATAGCACGAGGGCGGTAAGCGCTCGAGTTGGCGTCATGGCGGACACTGCGGCGGCGCACCGAGTCTCCAACACCGCCGGCAGAGTTTTGCGTAATCGAACCTCACACTAAGGATGTTACAATAAACTTTAGAGCTTTTGTTTATATAGTTGATGATGACAAATTAATAATTTGGTGAAAGTTTCATTGGCTTTTGAGATGCTTAAAAGACTGGAAGTATAGTTTGTAGTATTAGTTCTTAGTAAGTCTAAGCCATTGAGTAATTATTTGAATATTATTACGCAACCGTATCTAGATCCAAACTAAGCATCTTGTTGTTATGCATTCTAGAAGTAATAAACAAAGATAAACTTACTTACCAATCTGTGGAACGGATATCGTCTGCAGTATTTCCGGACCGATACGACGTTCAAACCTGCAAGAAAAGAGCGTACTCCTTCCTAAAAGGCCGGCAACGCGTTTGTTACTAAACATCACGGACATTCCAGAAAAATCATTTAACCGCGCAATACCGTGAATCGTTTTAATAATAATGCAGAGTGACACGGAATAATGCGTTTTTTTGTTATGTAATAGCGGGCAGGAATAGGAGCAGTCGGGTCACCTGATGGAAAGTGTCTACCGCCGCCCATGAACGCTTGCAACTCAGGAGTCACAGGCGCGTTGCCGGTTTTTGAGGAAGAAGTACGCTCTTTTCTTGAAGGTTTGAAGGTCGGATCGGTAAACGCAGACGATAACCCGTTCCACAGGTTGGTAGTGGTAGAGTGCCAATTAACAAAGTGGTGGGGATGAAAATTTTGCCGTGTGATACGATGGCGAAAATTTGCGGCCGGTATTAGTCCGAACAATTCCTCAGAGCACTCTCCATGATATATACGATAGAGAATGCAGAGCGAAGCTACATCTCTACGCAAGACCAAGGGGGCGAGCTGGTCGCACAAAACAATTTTACATTTTTAAGATTTAGGAGACTCTACAGGTTTGTAAGACTGCGCGAGTCAGACTAGCAATAGGCCTGTCTTTTAAAGACATTATAGCATCCTAAAAATGAAGCTATGGCAATACTTACTATGTAACCGATGCTCTAAGGTATCCCTTATGCAAAATGACTGTAAATATTTATGAAATATTTTAGTCTTCTTTGTCTGGCCCTTTCCCATTTTATTTGGGGTCAGCCCTCCGTATCATGTGCCTCGAGGCAGGTCGGTCCTGGGTCGTCTCTATGTTAACTTGGGCTTCTTTGAGGTTCCTATTTACTACGGACATCCATGGGATTCGGAGTCTTCCTCGTCCTCGGGGTTTGGTTTCAATATGTACACTTTTCGGGTCATGTGGTAGGATGGTCGCCTCATAGCGTGTCTGTACCACCGCAGACGGCTCTCCTATAGTCAATCTGGGATAGGTCTCAATTTGAAGGTGCCTCTTATGTATGTGTTTCTGACATGAAATATTTTGAAAAAAATATGAAATATTTCAGTAAAATATTTTAATAAAATCGTGTAGGGCTCTGCTAATAAGCAAGACACTTTTCTAAGCTCTCTGAGTATTCAGTGTCTCCATCAATTTGATGATTATGATGTTATACTGTGTTTAATCAAATTATTCATATTTATGTGATATTGAGACAGAATTATACACATTTTATATAACACGCAGTTAGCGCAATCAAGTGCAATCTTCAGCTGCAAACTTAAGGCTTATTGCCTAATCTTAAATAAGGGGACTGGTTAAGAATATAGAAACAATTATAGTTTTTTATAATAAAATGTTTGAATAGCAATAATAATGTATAATATTATATAATATATATTCTGGGACACCTTTCACAACGCAAAACTAAGCATAGCTTGTACTTACACTTATGTAAGTACAGTTTTTTTGTATACATATATGTACGTACATATAGATAACTAGGCTAATGATAATAGATATTATTTATAAATACAATTGTTTGCATCAGACGGCAATCGAACCTGTGACTTCTGACGAGATTCAGAATACTCATCAGTCTTTAATGTTACTTTTGCAGTATTTGTAACATAAATAACGACTACTCCACAAGTATATTTCAAATATAAAGACATATTTCTAAACAACATATAAATTTTAATAGCAATTAAAATCACGGCATTTTTTGACATTTTGTTTTATTAATTTTAGTTACCTTTTTTGCTGTGTCAAAATCCTCTTGAATCGTCACCCTACCAGGCCAAACTTTAAAGTCGCCTGAACTTGAACCAACTAAGGATGCCTCCGGTGTATCCTTGAAGTAAAATTCTTGTAAACCTTGGTAGATTTGGCCGTTGAATAAGGCGACTCCATTGTCATTTGTGGAAGATCCAGTTCCTCCGAATTCAGTGAACTTGTCACCACTTACGCCGCCTCGGACCGATTTCTGCTGAGATTAGAATTCTGTTTGGGCCTTTTGACAAGGAATGAACTGTCATGTCGCTTCGTGCTTTACTATCTTTAAATAATTTGAATACCACATGAATTAGTACATTTTCACTATTTTAATATATAAATTATTTAAAAATTATTTCAAAAATTGCTGAATAATATAACTTTGTACCAAAAAACCTAAAAAAATATATTTATACTGTTAATTTATATTGTTTTAAATTAATTAATAACAATTCTTTATTAATACAAAAATTAACAATGTTTAAAAACATAGTTAATGCACATATAACTAAGACCGTAAGTTCAGGCGCTTACGATATTAACTAACAAGATAAAACACAGAATTGGATACATTTTTTATCAAAGTAAAAAGTTATTTTGAAGTCATCATTATCATCAACAGCTTTTAATAGTCCACTGCTGGATATAAGCCTCTCCTTAGAAAGGAGATTTTGGCCTACTATACCACGCTGGCCAGACGGGTTGGTATAGGGTTTTTGTCAAGTTTTCCTTCTCTCAGCAGAGCTGTTGTTCTGCGTAGTTTTCTCCATTAGTCATTTGGAACTAACTTTTGATAAAGCTTGGAGTTTTAACCAAAAGCCAGTTCGGATTACTATTATGCGACCATGCTCTGCTCGAGTTCATTAATTCGTATTAGAAATATAACTTTCCTACCTACCTCTCGTTTTATTAAATTTCCTATCTTATTCCTAGAAATGGCAATAGGCTTGTCCCTTATTATCTAAATGAAATTACTATAACAGTTTTTTTTTATTTTTATACAACTCCCGCATTAGGAATATATGTCAATATATCACGTGGGATTTTACAAAGATACTGAAATGGGCACAAAGAACACCTAGATTTAGAACAACAATTTGTTGATCAAACAAAGTGTCGTACCATGTATGGATCGAACACACAACACTCAGCGTAGTAGGAAGCGGCGTGGAGACCGGTAAAACCACTACGCCATCCGTGCAGTCGTTACCTCCTCTGTCTACCCTACCTTCAGGGATATCCCTATAGTTTGTTTCAGAATAACAGAAACGCCTTCAGATATTGTAATTGCATGTTGGTGCGTATTGCTATCGTGTTGTGCCAATATTTCAGTATCGTCTTTCATTTGATCTTACTTATCTTTACCTATAGCATTATAAAAATCTTTATCGAAAGCCGAAAACAAATGAAAAATACCAAACAAAACAATATTCAGTTATTTATGTGTGCAATGTAATAGATATTGGAGACGTGTAATAAAATTATTCCGAATATTATAAGACCAGTGTGTGTGTGTGTGTGTTTGTGTGTGTGTGTGTGTGTGTGTGTGTGAAAATTATATTATCCGTGAAAATTATATATAATTTTTATTGGCCACAAAGGTCTTTAATTGCGGAAATTCTAGAAGCAAGCACCCTTTCTTCCTGGCGCTATGTTCCTTCTGCAGAAAACCCTGCAGATCTTATTTCACGTGGTGTGTATCCCAAGGAATTGATGGATAATAATTTATGGTGGTCAGGGCTAGGTTTTTACTCTTAAATGAAGAGTTTTGGCCTACATTGTCCAATAATTATCAGCATGAGAGTGATTTGCCCGAATTGAAATCATATATTAACCGTACCGATAACACTCCTATACCACTTTTTTTTTTTTATGGGACTAATCCCACCCACACGCCCACCACTGTAACTCCTGTACACCAGGATCCACAGCAGTGACCCACGAACACACCGAGTTATGACACTCGGGAAGTCCCAGGAAGAAATTAAACTGTCTTGGAACCCGCAACAAAATTAATCAGAAGAAAATTGGAGGAGTTGGAAATACAGTAAATCCACTTCCCTCCTTAGCAAAGCGGGAGACAAAATGAAGTAAAATGGGCATACACCCTTTTAAACAGGGAAGCACCACGGCCACAAAATATTACGGGTCCTACGTGAGCTATATTTGATATCTATATGTATGGCAGAATCGCCTAAACGCACGGAAATTCACCCTAGTTGACACAAGATCCCCATAGTATACCGCCCCAGATGTCACCTGCAAGGTATTCAGCATTATATTACGTTCATTATACCAGAGACTACATTCCCAGTGGATATGATGAGCAGACTGTTCATAGCGAGAGTTAGGTGTTGAGCATTGACACAATGGTGACTCGACTAATTTAAATGAATAAAGCTTGCTCTTAAAGTTACCATGACCCGTAAGAAATTGAGCGACACAGTGATCCACCTCAAGCCATGTCCTCGACAACCGTTCGCGAACAGATGGAAAGAATTGGTAAAGATAGCGCCTCTTGGATGATTCATCCCAGCGTTGTTGCCATTCGTCTATGAGGTCATTATAGACATCGGACTGCAAATGTTGAAGCAATCTTGTAATTTTACCGCGATCCCGCGCGCTCAAAAAATTGCATTCCATGTTTTGTTGTCTTGAATAGTACATGGCTGCACGTCTCTGCACCTCGAGATCGACCGGAAGCACACCCGCCAACACCGGCAAAGCCTCAGTGCTAACCGTCCTATATGCCTTGCACAAGAATATCAGTGCAAGTCGTTGGCCTTGTAACAGTTTGCGACGGACAGTGCCTACGGTCGCCCTATCGGCCTATACAGGTGCACCATAGCACATAGAACATAATAAGTAGCTCCGTATATGATCTTTAATGTATTAAATGATAGACCCCATGTCGCAGTTGATATCCTTGTCAATGCACATAAACTCTTTTTAGACTTTTCATTTTCCTATACCACTTGTACAATTTGATAGATTTTCAACATTGGTTAGAATAAAAAGAGTATACGCCTACGCGTTGCGATTCATCCATAACGTACGCAACCCTAAGTCTAAGCGTTTAGGAGCACTCAGTGTACAAGAGCTGCGTAACTCTTTCGACCTTCTATGTCGTTTAGCACAGCAGAAATCCTTTCACGATGAGTATAATACATTGATTAAAAATAAGCCCCTCAGTTCGCGATCCGTCATTTTAGCTCTTACACCTTTCGTTGACACAAATGGTTTAATACGAGTAGGTGGCCGTTAAGATGCATCTTCTCTGTCCTTTGATGGGAAGCACCCTATTTTGTTACACTCCTCTCATCATCTCACTAAACTCATTTTCGAGCGTGAGCATTTTATTTCCCGACGCGGCTAGCCTGTTAAGATTTTGTGCGACAATGGACGTAATTTTGTAGCCGCCGCCAAAGAAATCGGCAATTTTTTAAAATGTAATCGTGAAGCAATAAATGAGTTCACGAGTGAAGAAGCGATTCATTTTCTCTTCTCCCCTCCTTACGCTGCACACTTCGGCGGAATCTGGGAGGCCGGGGTTAAGTCGGCCAAATTCCATATTAGACGTGTAATGGCAAACACACATCAAACATATTAGGAGCTATCACTTTGTTCGCACAAGTTGAGGCTATTTTGAATAGCCGTCCCCTTTGTCCTATGTCCTCATCTCCAAACGATTTGCATATTCTTACCCCGGGACACTTTTTGATTGGTCGGTCTTTAACTACACTACCTTCACCAAGGTTCGTCGACTGCAAGTCTACCAATTTAAGGCATTATCAAAGACTAGAACAAATCGGTCAGCACTTTTAGAGAAGATGGCAACATGAATATTTGGCGGAGATGCAGCAAAGATCAAAATGGTGCAAGAATGACAAAGGGCTATCCGTTGGAGACTTAGTCTTGCTGCATGAAGAGAATCTGCCGCCTTTATGCTGGCGTTTGGGACGCATTACAAGGCTCTTTCCTGGACCTGATGGCGTATGTCGTGTTGCTGACGTCCAAACTACCAGAGGAAGCTTTCGAAGATCCTTCACGCGTCTCTGCCTGCTGCCAGTTACTGAACACTTGATTGAAGGTTAAAAGTCAGGGACTTTTAACGGCGGGGAAGATGTTTGCGCCTGAACTTAATCTCACAGCATTGTGGATTTGTCCTATATAGTTTAGCTTTGTCAGGCGGTACTAAATCGTCGGTACTTCGACAAAAATTAATAATTTTGTTTGTATACCTTAGTTTTTTGATTTGTCAATATACAAGAACCGTTTACGCTGTTATCCTTCCTAATTGATTTTATAATTTGTTAAGTAGTTGTGTAAATAGTTGTTACTACAGCAAATCTTCTTTTCATTGAGCTACTAAGCTCCAAATGTATCCTCGATAAGATACAATTAATATTCAATTTTATTGTTACTTTAACTCTCGGGGTCACGACAAATGTTATAAAATTAATGCGCCGAATTTGTTATTCAATGAAGCTTTCATATAAACCCGCCATTCATATTATTACCAATATTATTTTATTTGCATATTTTTTTACTCGCTGCCTGTATCGCTGGATCGCTGATCAATAGATTAGCCGTTTACGCAATATAGAATGTTCCACGGATTTAGCTGATTTGAAGATACAATGATTGCAAAATAGTGCAAGGTGCATTTAAGCTGACCTTAATTATAATAAAGATTAAACGGACACTTCGGCATAAACATCCACCGAGTCGCCTTGTCTTAAGTTAGGTTAAGTTTTACTGTTATTCGTTTGTCATTAAACTTAGAATTAAAATCTCGGGTTTTTCTAACTCCTCCGCTGGCTCTTCTATAATTGGGCAATCACTTATTAGAATACTCGAGGAAGGACGCAGCGCGTAAGCACTCCCAAAAATTTTTGGGAGTGCCATCTACATAGTCACTGCTACCTTCAGGCGTTAATCTGAAGATTTAAGCCTGAGGGTGTATTCGAAAATCAATGCAGAAGAAAATTCTGATATGCTGTACATGGAATCAGTCGCTGCTCCATAAATTCAATAAAAACAAAAGTTGTGTGACTGTGCTCAATTAATTACTTCTCTAAGACACTCATTGATCAATATTTAAAGCGTCATGTTATCAAATATTATCTTACTGTCATCCGAAACTAGAACTATGGGGTTTGTAAATAATAATGGTCCCAATATGCTTCCCTCAGGAACACCGTAAGAAGTTGTTCTTTGACTGGAAGCGTACGCTTTCTCTATTTTTAAATAAACAATATTTGAAATAAACTTTTGATATAGCTAATAAATAGCTATCTTGATATTTTTATTCTTTCGGAAACTATATTGTTCTTCGGTGAAAATCTTTTTCTATTTAAAAAATATGTACAAACAAGGCTGTCTTAAGCCATGCCTGGGCACACAACAATTTGGTGCCCTGATGGACAGTAAAACGTAATGAATAGACAGATACAGATACACTCAACAAAAAAGTCTACGCAACATGTACGGTTTTGAACTTTTGAACGATTTTTACCATTGTAATATACATATTCCTTTTATAAATAATAACTAAGCAATAATTGATGCATTAATAACTTAAGCAACTCAGCAAATTCTTTATTCAATTGTTGTGCCGTAAAATGATAAAAAAGTTTAACTGAGAACAGTCATTGGCTGTCTATAATATCGTGACAGGTGAAACCTGGGTGTAATGCTTTGAACCCGAAATAAAAAGCCAGTTGGCAGAGTGGGCCTTTTCTTTTGAAGATTTGCCAACGAAAGTTAAGAAAAGTCGAAGCATTGGTAAAAATTGGTTGCTTCTTTTTTCGGCAAATCAGGACATTACACTACTGTATTGCTTCAAGATCTAAGAACAGTGAATGCAGATTGGTACGTGAACACTTGCTTGCCCGGAATCTTAGAAAAAGTTTGCGAAAAGCATCCTCGAAGCAGTCTCCTCCTTTATCACGATAACGCATTCTCACATTCTGCTAAGGTAACAAAAGCCTATTTGACGGTTTCAAATGTAGAACTAATGACTCATCCGACTTACAACCTGGACCTCGCATCCTGCGACTTCTTTTTGTTTCCAATAATTTAAAGACAAACTTAGAGGCACACGTTTTACGATCCCTGAACCAGCGGTTAATGCGTTAAATGAAGCCATTGAAGATGTCCCTAAGGAAGACTTATCCAACTGCTTTGTACAGTGATTTCATTTCATTTTGTGTTTTTTATTATAATTATTTTTTCTATTTTTCATGTTTCAATTCATTTTCTCTTGTATTCGTTTTTTTTAAATCTTGTTTTCTCTTCATTGTCTTTTTACCTTTTAGTCCTTAATAACGGACATACTAGCACACATCAAAACAATGTTGTGGTATATTCAATAGTGCCATTGTATCTATCTGTGAATTGCAAAAGAGTGGCCATGAGTTTGTTTGCCCTTTCTTCTCATAAGGCTCAACCCCTTGGAAACGGGCGGTTGTAGATCGGCACAGGCATATCATAGATTTTGTATGGGTTTGATTTTTGTTAAATTTATTTGCTTACTATTTGACAAAACAGAGATTGTTGCTTTTGTGTGTGTTGATCTATGATTTTAGAGTCTACATAAAAGACGATTTCAAACAATTTTGAAAATTTTATGAAATAAAGAGAGTTTGAGTTTGATTTATACTTTGAAAAACAATAAAAGTATCGTAAGTCTTATATCTAGTCGTATTTATCAGAATCCAGAAACTTTCAGTATGCTCTAAGTATATAGTTATATAGCATAGTATTAACATAAAACTGTCAAAACCGACAAATTACGCTCCCATTGACATCAAAATGCCGAGATACCTGGGACTGATTTCTTCGTGCTTGTAGCATTCTTACAGCTTTTTGCATTTCATCAGCAGTCAAAGTCAGTATATATATATATCAGTAATTAAGTACCTGAAATGGAGCCTAACCATATTTGATACGAGCCTAGTAATGGCGCTCTGGATATTCGTTCAAGAAAAGGGCGAACTGAAGCTCTTGGCAATCCAAGGTCTTTAAGCAGGTTGTAGAGGGATTTAGCTGGTATACCCCTCGCACCCACTTCCACGGCATACAACATAACGACATAACCAGTTTTAGTCATCTCTTTGGACAAGTCAAAGTACTTGTTTCTTTTTAAAACGTGGCATTTAGTGATGTTCGTTTCCCACGGCACCGTGAGTTCTACTAGTACTATACGCTTAAATGAAATTGCACAAAGAAATATGTATAACCTCGACGCCGAGGCACAGATATCCTCCAGTATTCTGTAATGGTTGCGTGCCCACTAATAATGTCCAGTCACTGGCGGTATTTATAATTGTGAAATCTCTGATTATAGTTTTTGTGTTTGTTGTTATTACTTTTTTCGCTCTCGACAGCGATAAGTTTATAGCTTCGCGTATGATTTGTAATACCCTATTATGGCAACGTGAATAATGACCCCGGTCTAATAGCACCTTACAACCTACTAGTACGTGCCTGGCTGTACCTATTTCCGCCCTGTACATCGTACAAGCCTTTTTGTAGCTTATCCCCACCTTACTAAGTTGCTTTAAAATTTATTTTTGCTTTTGTAAAATTTAAACAGAGCAGGTGACCAATAGTATAAAAGTGTGTCCCATTTCAAAGCTGGTGGGATACAAATATGATGATAACAGCCTATAATAGTCCGCTACTGGATATAGGCCTCTCCTTAGAAAGGAGGTTTTGGTCTACTATACCACGATGGCCAGACGGGTTGGTATAGGGTTTGTTTCAAGTTTTCGTTCTTCCGGCAGTGCTGTTGTCCAGTGCAGTTTGATCCCTTAGTGGGCTCTTACGACACCCACGGGATGAATAGGGGTGGTAACATTTTGTATTCTTAACCCGTCACTATAGTAAATAGTAGACATAAAGAAAAACAAATAGTAGACTACAGTAATTCCAAACCCATACGCCCTTCAACCCTTCAGCAAAAGAGCTTAATCCCAACTTAAGGGCCGACGACGTAATTGTGACTCAGGACAACTCAGGAGTTGCAAAATAAAAATAACTGAGGTAGTCACTTACCATCAAGTTCCCCATCGGATCGTTTGCGCTCCGAATATAATAAGAGGAATAAGATACCACTTCCTCAAAATAATGTTATCTCCAGCGATATTTGTTGATATTATATTGTTAAAGGAGTAGCGCAAACAAAAACGTAGGTAATGAAACTTTTATTACAATTATAACAAACCAACTAATTATTTTTACTGCATAATCTTAATACATCAACATTTTGAGACCCGAAATGAGGATTTTGGCCAAGTTTAGTCACCAAATCTACACAATATTAGTTGTGAGCTGCTTTTTATAGAGGTATAATAATATTTTCTTATTCTTACAATTATTATAATCGAATATAATACCTATATTATTATATTGTCAGTGTTTATAAACACTATTTCTCACAACATTGTATATGTAATACGTTATAAATAGACATCTCTAATCTGTTTAATTTTGTTAATTCAAAGTTTCGACTCACCGCTTCAAATTTCTGTAAGTAGGTTCAATGTACTCTCGTAATTTCAAAACTCACTGAAGTCTTTCAATTTTGCAAATTAAATTTTAGGACTTACAGATGAAATGATGTCCTTACCTTGGACACTCTGTAGCCCACACCTTTTATACGACACGTTAGTATCTCGCAATTTATCATGGTCATTGTTTTTGTATTCAGCTACGTAAGTATCCTGGAGGAAGTAACTATGTTATACGAGTAAGAAACGCGTTTTTAAGAGCGTTTGGTCACAACTTCACCGCGCACGTCTTATTCTTACTCATTCTGTATTGTGTGACTCCAAAGTTTAGACGTATCTATTACAAAACAGTTATAGTGATTGTCGAGTTGTGTACTCTATTCTTGTTTTTGTCGTGAGGTTAATGCCGAATATGACATAGTGAAGGGTATTTCAACTAACAAAGTGATCGGTAAAGCTAGCAGGTACGTGACGAATGTAGTTGTTATGGTATCTGCAGTCTGCAAATGTAAAGAAAAAAATTAGAGGTAAAATATGTTCTAGTCCCCGTAACGGGGTATCAAGTATTTCGGGTATAGAATCTTACCACGCCCAGAGCATTTCTGGTGATTGGTTGTAGTGTGGAAGCCGTAAACATCATGTTGACGCACCAGTGTAACATCACGGCAGAAAGTGATGACCGACCCAGCGGGTACCAGATGCGCCAACAGAACATGCGGTTTAGAAAACCTGTATTCAAGATGTTAACATTAAGCAATGGCAAGTTAGGATAAACATTTAGTAACTAAAATTACTCGCAGGCCTGGTATATTTAGTGGATCTTGGACGATAGATGTCATATCTGTCAAGCATTTACCTAAACCTCCTTTTTATGTCCAGCAGTGGACTAGTAAAGGCTATTGACGATGATGATGATGATGATGATTTAACCAAATCGTGTGACTGCCGGGTTAGGTAAGAAAAAGCCACATAGCACTAAATTAGTTTTATGGTGTGTTATGATAAATGCCCATAATGCATCTGCCCTTCTGTGTAGTGACAGATTAAGAAAACGAAGTGTCACCACCCCTATTCATCCCGTGGGTGTCGTAAGAGCCGACTAAGGGAGCAAACTACGCAGGACAACCGCACTGGAAAAGGAATACTTGAAACAAACCCTATATCAACCCGTTTGGCCAGCGTGGTATAGTAGGCCAAAACTTCCTTTTTAAAAAGAGGTTTATGTTCAGCAGTGAATTATTAAAGGTTGTTGGTGATGACGATGCCCATAATGCTGACATGCCCAAAAAGTCAGATGATATTCCTATCCTAATGGCTTTTCTAATTATAGGACAGAAATACGAGTACAACTCAAGCCTCGTCGAGCTGCTGAAGTCTCAACTTCGATTCCATAAATGAGACTTCCGGTATCCTTCACCCTAGCTCCTGAGGAACTAGCTCCCTCAGGTGATGGATACCGGGTTATGGTTATGGATAATGGGTTGAATTGAGCTCACTTAATTTATGATACTGAAAACTGATTTTGCCAGATGGATGCCAAGTAAAATTAGAAAAATGCAGGACAACGATACGATACAAAATAAAAAACTGAACTATATTGTAACTATTTTGTAAGTATTCCCTTACAATTAGAACTTCTATAGATTGATGAGAAATCAAGTCTGGCGTACCTTTTGTTGGAATGTTGGCTGTGTGTGTTTCTGAAAGTAACAGAATTAATTAGTAAGTTATGCATTGTCATTGCCATTGGTCATTCTCAGAACTGCTTGAGTATATTGGCACAATTTAATTCTTAAATTTTAGTACGTTAACAAAGTGAGCCATCGGAAATTGCATTTAGTTTTTTAGTAATTTTACGTAGTTCTTACTGGTCAAACTTTTCAATTTATACTTACTTATCTTTTTCTTGACAATTCTATTAAACATGCTAAATAATAGCAGGCCCGATAGTATCAAGGTTACGAGCCTCTCAAAAGTCATGTAAAAAGCATAGAATTCCCTGGACGTGGAGATTCGCAGAAAGTATCCACAGCTTGGCCATATTATTAATATAGGAATACTTGTTCGACACGTGTAGAACAACCACTAGAAAGTGCATATTAGTTAAATTAGTAAGTTATAAAGAATGATAAACATCTGCAAAAAAACAGGACACGCTCATCAACCAACATCGCTTTCTTCATTACCTTTTACTTTTACCCACTAATTTGTCCCAATTCCGTCAAAGACGAGCACAATATACTTAAGATTTAGCTAAAGATTTCGGCTGGATTCTTTTATCGCCAATCGAGTGACGTTGATCCGTGTTAGGTAGGAAATCATTTTCTATTGGAACGAAGATAGAAGGTACATTGGGTAAAGCTAAACGGATGGGTGATGAAGATTGGATAAAAGATGACGCAAGTATCGAATGAGAAACGAGGTTGAGATTGAAAACTTTTATGATGGACACAGCAGGATCCTATAAGAAAGGCCACAAGGGTAGGGAAAGGCTGGTTTAATAGCGCATAATTTGAAATATTCTGACGAGTGTGTTTTGTGACTCTTCTTCTAGTGACCTTATGTCAAGCTAGAATATCATTCAATGGACAACAAGTCACCTTTAAAATTAATACTTGGGTTATCTAAAGGGTTGACGAAAATACTATTTATTATGTTTAACCGCTGTTACAAGTATTATAATAGAAACTGAAACCAACATAGTACGAGTAAGACGCTAAAGGCACACAGAGCTATTTCTTAGCATTCGGTGGATTCACCGAGCGGGTACTGGTCCATGGCGTGAGAGATGGGGGCAATACATTCGACTGACTGCGTCAGCGCCTGAGACTTGCGACTCAGTTTTAGTAGGTTTAGGGAGTTATTTAATAAGGAAATTTAGGGGTTTCCAGTTGAAAACCAGCACCGGGCCTTCGCTAGGCAAACATTCTGAACTGAACGCCTATTTGGCACAGCAGTAAGACTCAATATAAGTTATCTAAAATTTGTGAGCATTCTGAATAGATAATTTGTTAGAATATTAACATCAGTGAGTAAAATTTACTATTAGACTAAAAGCCTTTTTTTAGAGGTCAACTTTTACTTTTATTAATAGGGTACATGACTATAGTGTTGTGAGCCCTCCCATGGGTGGGTACTACCTATGTCTGTGTCTCTCATGATAGCAGATAAAATTTTCTTTCTTGCTTTTCTTTACTCCTTTCGACGCGTCAGTGCTCACCTCCACTGTCTACTGTGTTACAGAGTGATTTAGCTAGTACGAGTATACCATATGTAGTCATACAATGCAACGAAATATCTTCTATATCCATTTAAAGGTTTTTTGTTGGTTAAGGCAAAGTATTTTACTTATTCTTTTTTCAAGCGTGGTCTTAATTTTATTTTATTTTATTTTTAGGAATGTTGGTTTCCCACGGTACTGTGAGTTCTAATCTATTTAGCGTAGAGAAATAAACACTGAAGTAAAGTTACGTCAAACTTTCAACATATTAAGAAATAAATAAAATAAAAAATGCAACTAGGACCCATATAAATAAAATAAATTAAGTTATAATGTAGTTACCTTATTATCATTAGGCCTGGCTCCTGTCTTATTGACCTGGTAGTATAGATATGCGAGGAAGAGCCCAGCCATCAGGGCAGACAAACTGGTTACAGGATTCAAATAGAATTTATAAAATGATGGCTCGTTTTGGAACATGGTCCGCAAGTTCCTAGAACATAGAATTACCAGGGATTGTATAAAGCCATTTTAGTCTACTTCAGCATATAGCCGTCCACTGCTGACGGAAGGACTCTCCCAAAGAGCTCCAACCATTCCGGTCTTGGGCATCATCATCATCCTCATCCATCCGCTACCAGCCATTTACCTCAAGTCATCGGTCCATCGCGCTGCAGGGCGCCCTACACTATGTTTGCTTAATCGCGGTCTCCACTGTAGCACATGTCGGCTCCAGCGACCATTAATCTGCCTGGAGACGTGACTGGCCCAGTTCCACTTCAGCGTATTGATTCTTCGCACTATTTCGGTTACTAAAGTTCTCTGTCCAATTATTTCGTTTAGGGTTTTATCGACTAGAGTAAGGCCAAATATCACATGTTTGATGGAGCATGCATTGGGACACTGAGTGACTTGAAACTTGTGAAGGGAAACGTGGACAATCACATTGCCTACGTTTCGGCTGCGTATATCATTACAGTATTTGCACCCGGTGGTTTCTACGCCCGTAACCGAACGGTCGTACCCTGAACTCGCCATATTCTTGTACTCCCGCTTTCGTATTGGAGTACAACATAACAAACGTGAAACATGGCTTAGACCTCATTATCAGGATGTGTTATCGTGGGAGCATACACTTGTACAACCTTCAACCAATATCTTTAGGAAAGTTTTAAGACAAGTTACGCTACCCTTGACGACACACTGCCAGCCTCCTTCATACTGTTTTTGAGTGATTTATGGACCATAAATCCAACACCACCTTAGGATCTTTAGTCTCCCTGTCGAATATAAAGAAGGTGGCCGGAATCTAAAGCTATGGTATCCTCATCCTGGCATCGGACTTCTGCATTTCCAAAATGTGTGAATTTATACGGCTCACCTCCGCTTCCAATTCTGCGAGGTTACCCTTTTCTTTTACGTGTGGAAACCCCCTTGAACCGTTAACCTACCGGGGTTTACAGCAGGGTGGTGTGTTGGAATCGGAGAAAAACGACACGGTGTGCCACTCTGCGCCTGTAATTGGATAGATCCGGGAACTGCTATTATTAAGACATTCGGACCCCTCCTAGCGCCCGCAAAGGCGCGAGCAACATCTTTGGGTATATTTATTCCACCTCCTCGTACTGCGAGATGACGTCTTCGCAGAAGAAAGGGACCGCGGTAAAACATCTGTCACTACCGGCCATGGATCGTATGACGGCCGGTAGTGACAGATGTCACTACCGGCCATGGATCGTATGACGGCCGGTAGTGAGAGGTCTCCTCCGATGATTGCGATAAGGACCCGGTGCTGCGACTCCCAAGCCGAGAAAATTGCCGGCGTGTGCTGAGCCGAGTCCTCACTTCACTGCAATCGCAGTGGTGACAGGCGGGATTCAATTCCCTCCTAGCGACTGGACGCCAAGTTAGCGTCGAACCTCTATGAGGCGGTCTGAGATTTGACTGACTGACTGACTAGGGCCAGCACTCGGGCCGGTATCTCGTCTGGCTCCCGAATCCCGAACGGGTGGCACATCATCCACGTTCTGCTCTTCGTCTCCGGTCAAGGAGGCCATCGACGGGGGTGTGTAATACGCCCGTTGCCCTCCATTGCTTCCTGCAGGAAGCTACACTGGAGAGTGGAGTGACTGGAGAGAGACAGGGGGGGGGGGCGACGCGCGTAGCTTTTGTCGCACCGTGCGATAAGGGCGACCCCAGGGGTCACGATTGAAAACTGAGAGAGTGACTAACGGGAACTGAGGACCGTGGAATGTAGTTGCTGTTCATATGGGAGGTAGTCACCACGATTAGCAGACGGGTTGAGGACCGCAGTGGCAAGAATCATTATCTGGTGACGCAGCTGCCTTTCACCAATATCGATATTTAGTGATTCTCACAGTGGTGTGGTTATACCTCCACGAGTTGGTAGTCAGAGCTTCGTCAGTGCAGCAGGGTACACCGCGTGCAGGTGAGGTTGACGTTATGAGCCCTAAGGTGGTAGGTAGCCCCAGTGTAGCTTACACCCCAATTAAAGACATCAATCTCATTAATCATCTCAATTTTTCTATATCTGTATCCTGTTGAACAACTGTGTTCACATCTGCAAAAAACATATCTCCCACCTTCTTTATTCCTTCTATCCCAGGAAATAAAATTTAAGAAAGTATCAAAAATAGCTTTATAGTGGGTCGTTTGCTAATAGATCACTAAATATACACGTATGATACAGATACTCGAAATAATATTTAACGTGAACTGATACTGAATACTGAACAAACTTTACGAATCGGTCATTATTTATTTAAGTTTACTTACTCAGGCCCAGACGCAAATATTAATGGTCTCCATTGATAGATGTAAGCTAAGATGGCGTTTAAAGTACTGAACAATACAAAGCCGATGCCCAGAAGTAGAAGAGCCAGTCTCCTCACTCGTTGTAGACACAGAATGACCAAACATCCCAAGAGATATAGCTGCATGTCTGCTGCCAGAAACCTGCATATAAATAAATTCATCATTAAAGAAAATACTACTATTAGTAATTGTGCATCAAAAAGCTAAAATACTTGTAGGTAAATGCATAACATATTACTGACCCATAAGCTTATCTCAAAGTTATGGCCGACGGTAAATGAGCTCAACAAGAGAAAAATAATAATAAACAACCTTAAAATACATTGAAACGCATGCATAAATAAGAAAATCGTCTACATTTTATTTTAAACGCGTTTGTATAATGTCTGTATAATTATGAAAGTACGCCAGGTTTAAAAAAACAATTACAATAACTCCATACACCTCACACAGGACCATCTATTCCCGAACTATGGAGAGCCTGTGCTGTGGTGATCAGATTACAGATAAATACACTTTTACATTTCAAAATACATACAGATAAATTACCGTCAGATACAGAACAAAACATCGTGCCATTACACAATTACTTTTCCTGGGTGGAAGTCGAAGCTACTAAGCCAAGGGCATGAAAATGGAAAACTTAATTTGGAAAGCTAGGTAAATACTTGGGTTCTCTGTCGTCAGATCGATAAAACGACTTCTGCTACGGCGACTTCGTTTACTTACCAAGTTTGTACTAAACAGAAAGGTTCAGCTGTAAAGAAATTTCTGATGAAAAATGCGTGATTCCAGAACTTGTGGCGGCATACTTGTGACTCTTTGCCAACAAGATAGTGCCAGAGAGGACCGTCACTCATCAGCGGCCACCAGGTTGCAGCGAATCCAATCACCAGAATGTAAACAGGCATTATCCTGGTGACAAGGAAACCACATAAACTAAGAGTAATTTACCTATTGATATTTATATTTGAGTATTCCGAGAAAACTTTTTGCCTAAATTCTAGTAAAGTACGAATGGCAAAAAAATATTTTCAAAGACCAACAGTATTTTTTACCTACCAATATTTTCTTTGTTTTATTTTACCTAAACACCCAATCTATAATAAACAACGTTTGGAATTTATATTTGAAGTTGAAGGTAACGCCGTTGATATTAGCATGTATTTGATATGAATCAAACATATGATATTGAATATTTATTCATCGTATAAATTTTAGTTATTTCACCATCACTGGATACCATCATCATCAACAGCCCCTAGCAGCCCACTGCTGGACAAAGGCCTTTCCCTACAAATGAGATTTTGGCCTACTATATCACGCTGGCCAGACGGGTTGGTGTAGGGTTTGTTACAAGTTTTCCTTCTTTTTGCAGAGCTGTTGTCCTGCAGAGTTTGTTGTTGCTGTTGTCCTAGCTCTTACGACACCTACGTGATGAATAGGGGTGACAATCACGTAAGGTGACACTCTGTATTCTTAATCCGTCACCACACGGATATAAGTATTTAAGTTAATTTACATATTTTCTTCTTTTTTTTTCTTTTGTTAAAAGACAACTCCCGCATTAGGAATATATCCTATGTCGCGGGGGACTTTACAAACATACATGAAACGGACACTAAGAACACTCCGACTCAGAACAACAATTTGTGTATCACACAAAGTGTCGCCCCTTGTGGGGATCGAACCCACGACAGTCAGCGTAGTAGGAAGCGGCGTGGCGACCGCTTAAACCACTACGCCATCCGTGCAGTCCAAATCTGCGACCAAATTTGCGACCTTTACAGAGTCATTCGTCCACCTGAAGTAACATTGACTACTAAAAAATCCGACTCACCTGAACATACGTTTCCCTATTTGTTTTAGTACTAGTCCAATGGTAATTTCATTATAGTTAAGGAGTGAGTGTGCCATGAAGAAACTGGAGAGCATGAACAATATTTGCATAAATGAGGTGGCATTTTTCAACATCAGATTTTCTAACCGACGTGAAGCCTGAAAAACAGAACAAGAAAACAGTTTTTCTTACTTAAGATGTCCTATTACGTGGTTAGATTTCAACAAATATTGTTTTCATGTCATCATAGTCATCAATAAAAATTTACTTAAGGCGTGCAGGGTCTCTTATGTGATTTAAGGGGCGGAGCTCTCTGACCGTCCGCCGCACGCAACCGACGACCGATGCGGGTCCGCCGCCGGTAGCATACGAATGTACGGCAATGATTGGCGCTCCGGGTTTTTAGGCCCGTATTAAAATACGTCTCAAGTATCGGTTGAACTCTGATTGCTTGAACCTAGTTTTAAGTAGAGATCAAAACTTAAGTATCGATCTTATTTTAAAACGCATTTTAAGTTTTACTCATTTCAAACTACTTTCAAGTATAGATTTGAACTAACAGTCTGTTCTAAATTACGTTTCCGCATGATTGACATTATTATTCAATATTACGCAGCTAATTATTTACAAATAATTTTCTTTTACAAACATAATTTCAGTGAATTAGTATATAGTACACTATTGGCTAGTGTAGCAATGTTAACATATTAACAAGCTTTTGTTCGTCCAAAATTTAATCTAATAAAATAAAAAATAGTAGATAAAGGCTATTACGGAACGTTCATGTTATTTATCAACACTTGTCATGTTGAAATGTCAAACATTGTTTTTATTTTAATTTATTTCTAAAATTTATATTACTAGAATAGTATTATACTTTTAACATAAACAAAAAGATGGTGGTGATTTTAATTTAAACAAGTATTGTGTGTGTAAAATGTGAATTTCAGTGAATTTAATATCAATTAAGGTAAATTAAAGTAAATTGGTTATGTATGACAAGTAATTCTTTCGTAAATAAAGTAAAGTAAATCTTTTGTTATTTTTCGTAACAAAAAAATAAATCACATTAATTCCCCCTAAAATGGCCTAGAATTCTTCGCTTGAGACTAGTTTCAGCTTGTCTCACGTAAACAAAGATCCCAGCTGTCAAAATTAAAAAAAAAATCTAAAAGAAAAAAAAAACTATCTTGTCTGTCTACTTGAATAAAGATTTCGACATAAACATCGTTCTAAAATAGGCTATCACTCACTTGAGGATGGATCGGTGAATCTAGTTTTAAGTGACGTTCAATAATAAAATCTCTACTTAAAATTACTTTTAAGACTAGATTCACGACTGACACACTTTTTAAAATACGGGCCTTAGAAACGTTGACAAAGGTGGACAGCGCGTGGCGTCGGTCGCGTGCGGCGGACGGTCAGAGAACCCCACGCCTAAGTAGTGGTAAGTATTTAAAGTATGAATAAGTCACTGGCGACAAACGAGTAGACCAATCACCTGACTGCAAGCGACTACCGCCGCCCATGGACACCTGCAACACAAGAGACACAAGTGCGCTGCTACATTTTATTTCCCACTGCATTAGAAGTGGAGGGTTTGGGTCTAGGGTGATCTCGATCCAGTGAAATGCAACAAAAAATGTTTCGGTATACATACGTCTTCCCCATGCAGCGGGTTGGCCATGTAAATAGTATCTTGAATAAGAATAGCATGCGTTAATATCACCACTATCATATTGATCACCCTGAAAATATACATCATCGTGGATCACACATTACTTGTATTTTTGCTAGCTCAACCAACTGAGCCAAACGCTTAGTCAGGAGTGAATTCACGCTGAAGCGATCTCACTATCGCACATACAGATAGTTTTTACTTTTACATTTGGATTATTTTGTGCACCTACTATTGGCTGAGCGTTGTTATTGTTATAAATACATTAATTAATACTTTATAAGTCAGTACGCTATCAAATGTTAGACTTACAAAGTACAATCAAGGAAAGATTCGCTACTCTATACATTTTAATATACCTTTACTTAAATATACTAAACACGTGTGGCTGTATTTCGTCCGCACTCAATAAACTACTAACTTAACTTACTACTCAACACCATCCTACAGTGTACAAGCTAAATGGCCTGTACAAACTGTATAAATAAAGTATATATACATAGTAATTAACTGTTAAATAAAGGTAAATTCTAGTAAAACCCTTATAAAAGGATTTTTCAAATTGTTTCATAAATGACTGAGTTCTGAATTCTCATTAATCAATCGACATTAAATACACTCAACTCGACAGCACTTGAGAACATTTACATAAAACAATCATGAACTAATTGTATAGGTACCATTACAAATAAAAGTTCTGAAACAAGTTCCTTTGTGACAAACAAACTAATGTGTTTTCTTAAGAATAACATTTGTTGTAGTTATTACCTATAACCTGCAAATGGGAGTACTGCTGCTAAGCGTGGATCTCCATCAGGATAGGGACCGACAAGTTCCTTCCAATTAGATAAAATGGACCACGACATTAATATCTTCGATTTGTCTGAAATTTTCAATCACCAGTTTTAATTTATAACAAACAAATAGAGTATAATAATCAAAAAATCTGATGATGTTGCAATTCTAAGCGAGAAGACAAAGGAACCTTGTCGCATCAGGTTTTGTAAACAATCAAACACGAGACACAAATTTCACCCATAAATGGGTCAAGTATTAATTTCAGAATCCAAACGATTATGCCATTAGATGTGATTTGAGGTATTTCATCCTACAGAGAATTTTGCAATTGATTGAGCTCATTCTTGCATGCGACCAACGTAATGGGAGACGGTCAAAGGATATAATAGTCATTTACAACAATGGAAGGTGTTTGACCTTCACGTTTCTCAAAATTATGCAGTTTCAAATTGTCGCATGCTAAGCACTCAACTAGTTTGTATTTCAGTTGGACATTTCTTGGAGACAGAAGATATATAATACGCCCTGCCATCGTGTTGTAATTGTAAAATTGAATCGTTCTGTAATTATTTATATTAAGAGATTCAGATTCTGATAGGCATTAAACACAGTTGAACACAATCTTTAAACTTACTTGCAGCATCTCCTTTCACTTTATCATATATAGTACCGATCATATTCAACGCTAGAAGACCCAGTACTGCGTAAACAAAAACCCTGTGAGGCGTTTCTATTGCATTATTGTTGAAAGCGTCATCTTCTGCATGTGAACGGCAATATATCAGCTCAGTTAGTTTCGTTTGGAGCGATCGTTGGTTAGAATCCTGTGCCACGCAGCGGTCGAAGCGCTTTGACACATTGTGTATGTGCGATAGTGAAGGGCAGCGGGAACTCACGCAGACACCGCGGTGAATAAGTGTCCGGTTGAAGTTGTGGTCGTCACGAGAGTATTCCTGTGGAGAATCCTATTGTTTAAATTTATTATTTCAAAAGTTTACAGTACATGGATAGCTAATTGTCAAAGGGTTCGCAATTAAGTTAACAATGATACGCTTTATTTCAAAGTGTGTTCCGAAAATACACATTGATGATTATGTTGGTTGATGTCAATGTGCTGTATGTAAAAATATTTGTTTCAATAATGAGAAAGTCCAGTAAAAATAAAAATTTATTGACTAAGAAAAGAACCACGTCCATGATTGAAGCTACACCCGCTCCATATGTACCGGGTGATAATCTGTTATGATGATAGTTGAAATTGTACTGGTTGCTGAAATTATCTATACTACAATAGATAATACTCGTAGTATTTATACCTGACACCTCGTGGTGTTTAGGTTCCTGGAAATGAATTATGGTGCAAAATCAACCACATGATGATTTCTAATCATATTTAAATAAAGCGCTTCGTTTTTAAAGCTTTTTTTATGAGTATTAACGAGTTTCAGTATAAAAGACACGGAAACGACCAGTTACCTTCTATGCACCGTACACTTTTCGTTAGCAATAATCGGTTCCAAGGTAGGCCCCAAACACTAATGGTACTTAGTGCTAGGGATAATTGGATGGAAGGATGATTCTTGAAGAAAAGCCAAATATTTAATTGAACTGGTTAGCAAAATGGAATAAAGACATTGATATACAAGATATTTATTTATTTCGTTAAAAGGCTCTGTTTTTTCGATAACAATCAGTTTGCAAATCTGATTTGTTTCCACTTCCCAATTCCTTGCATTGTCGTACTTACCAAAAATTCCACTTTTGCAATTTTATATTATCATAAATTTCTTACAACTAGCTAAATACAACAGGCCGGTGACGGGCAGCAGCGTTACCGGTGCGACAAGCTACGCCCTGCGATCGCCAACCCGCCTGCTCAGCGTGGCGATTATGGGCAAACCCTCCCCATGCAGACGCAACAAAGGCCACTGCCCCCAGTTCCCGGCGGCCCCGCTATTCCTGGTCATGGTGGCGACCACGGTAAAGGCGGGGCAGGGGGTGCGAAGAATCTCCGGGCTACAGGAGGCCACCACAACCGACTGACCCTGGCTACGTACAACGGACGCACGCTACGGCTAGACTCGCATCTGGCACAACTTGAGGTGGAACTTGGGAAGATTAGGTGGCATATCCTAGGGCTATTTGAAGTATACACCATAAACCTCTAGTCAGGCCACCTAATGTACTTCCGCGAGGGAGACCAACAATCCCAAGGTGGCGTTGGGTTTCTGGTAAATAAGTCCCTATCTGACAACGTTGTGGAAATTTCCAGTGTGTCGAACAGGGTAGCGTACCTCATTATCAAGCTCACCGAGAGGTATAGCCTCAAGGTTGTGCAAGTGTACGCACCGACCTCGGCACACTCGGACGACGAGGTGGAGGATATGTACGATGACATATCGAGTGCCCTCCACTTCACAACTAAGACACACTACAACGTTATTATGGGTGACTTCAACGCTAAAGTGGGAGTACAGAATTGCGGCGAATCGGTAGTAGGATCCCATGGATTTGGAATCAGGAATCATAGGGGGCAAATGCTGGTCAACTTCCTCGAACGGGAGGGGCTCTTTTTGATGAACTTTTTCTTCAAGAAACAGCCCCAAAGGAAGTGGATGTAGCAAAGCCCCGACGCTATGACCAGAAATGAGATCGATTTCATCATGACGGATAGAAAGCACATATTCAGTGATCAATAGGTTTAATACCGGTAGTGATCACCGACTTGTCCGGGGCTCTCTGAATATCAACTTTAAGGCGGAACGTGTCTGTTTGATGAAATCCAGGCTCCGACCGACTCTGCTCCAAGCTATGACAGGATCTGAAACGTTCCAGTCAAAACTGGAAAACCGATTCGCTGCCGTGGAAACCACAATCGACGTAAACCAGAACCTCGAAAATGTGGTTCGGATCCTCAGGGAAGAAGGTACGAGATTTTGTGAAATGCAGCGTAAGGGCAGGAAGTCGAAGCTTTCAGAAAGGACCCTAGGGCTAGTGAAGAAACGACGTGAAAACCCACCTGTCACTTTGTCGGCAAAGCAAACTCTAAACCGAGAGATCAGTAAACTAGTACGACACGACCTCCGGTGCTCCAATACTCTTTCAATTGAAAGAGCGATCGAGCAAAATCGGGCGTCAAAAGTGTTCGTACAATCTCTTGGAAGAAGCCACCTGACAAAGTTGACCATAGAAAGTGGAGAAGTCGTTGCTTCGAAGCCGGCAGTCCTTTTGGAAGTGGAAAGCTTCTATGGCCGGTTATACGCTTCGCATGCATCTCGACCTGATCCCGAAAATGAGGACTCTAGAGCCACATTAACACGTCACTACACCGAAGACCTGCCAGAAGTTAGCATTGACGAAATCGAGATGGCTCTTGGACAGCTGAAAAATGGAAAAACCCCTGGAGAGGATGGCGTTACAACAGAGATGCTAAAGGCCGGGGGTAAACCTGTACTAAGTCAGCTCTAAAAGCTCTTCAACGCTGTTCTGTTTGAAAGGAGAACCCCGGAAGCGTGGAGTAGGAGTGTGGTCGTCTTGTTCTTCAAAAAGGGTGACAAGACCAGGTTGAAGAACTATCGACCCATATCCTTCTAAGCCACATCTACAAGCTGTTTTCGAGAGTCATCACGAACCGTCTTGCGCAAAGACTCGACGAATTCCAACCACCGGAGCAAGCTGGGTTTCGGAGCGGATATGGCACCATAGACCACATCCACACAGTGCGGCAGATTATACAGAAGACCGAAGAATATAATCAGTCCCTGTGTCTAGCATTCGTGGACTATGAGAAAGCCTTTGACTCGATCGAGATCTGGTCTGTTCTGGAGTCCCTGCAACGTTGCCAAGTAGATTGGCGATACATCCAAGTGATGAGATGTCTCTACAAAGCCGCCACCATGTCCGTCCAAGTTCAGAATCAGCAAACAAGGCCCGTACCATTGCATCGAGTGAGACAAGGGGACGTTATTTACCCGAAATTGTTCACAAATGCAATGGAGGACATGTTCAAGACTCTGCACTGGAAAGGGCGTGGCATCAATATCAATGGCGAATACATCTCTCACTTGCGATTTGCAGACGACATCGTCCTCATGGCAGAGACGTTGCAGGACCTACAGCAAATGCTGAATGACCTAGCTGACACTTCTGTACGCATCGGCCTACGGATGAACTTGGATAAAACCAAGGTCATGTTCAACGAACATGTACTACCGGAACTGATTGCAGTACACGGTGCCGTTCTCGAAGTTGTTCAAAATTATGTGTACAGTTAGGTAGAAACAACTTCGAGGACGAGGTGAACAGAAGAATTCGGTTGGGTTGGGCAGCGTTTGGGAAGCTACGTCGAGTCTTCTCATCGTCGATCCCACAGTGCCTTAAGACGAAAGTCTTTAATGAGTGCGTCCTACCCGTCATGATATATCTATGCTATGCTCGGCGTTTCTCTAAGGGATCGCATCAGAAATGAGGTGATCCGGCAGAGAACCAAGGTCACCGACATAGCCTACCAGATCAGCAAGCTGAAGTGGCAGTGGGCTGGCCATATTACCCGCAGAACCGACAACCGTTGGGGAAAACGAGATCTTGAGTGGAGACCGCGTCTCGGTCAACGTAGTGTAGGACGCCCACAGGCCAGGTGGAGTGACGATTTGCTCAAGATGGCTGGCAGGAGCTGGATGCGAGAAGCCCAAAATCGAATCTAAGTGGCGTGCAATGGGAGAGGCCTATGTCCAGCAGTGGACTGCGATAGGCTGATGATGATGATGAAATTTCTTACGTTATGCTGATGGCAATAGAAGGCATATTTTGCGTGACTGGGTTCAAAATAGGATTAGCTAAAAATGGGCACTACATATTCCTCTACCTACCCTTAAAACTAAATAGGCATGAGTGTATATATGTTTGTTTACCTTCATGAGTTCGTAAATATGATCTGGTTCTTGCGTAGGTTTGACGTGGAAGGTGCCAACACAGTAGAGCCCGTCTGCTTGTTTCAAACATTCGTGATATTCGTCAAGGTGAAACAGCTTTGGGAACTTCGCATATTCTTCATCTGTAGATAACATACGGGGTTTATTTTAATTTGTGACATAAGCTTCTACCGTGATTTGTTGCTTTTTTTGGTTAAAGATTTTTATCAAAAGGGAATCAAAAAATTCAATTTCAAAAAAAGAATATTCAATCCAGTTACGGTGTATTATACAGTTTACGACGGATAGACTAACACTTGAGTGAACTATCACTAAACTGTCACTATTACTAAATAGGGCCCCTTTTAGACCTTTCTGGAATAAAACCTTAATAAATAAACATAAAAATGATAACTTTTTTCAACTATTTGCAGTTGAAGCTCTAACTTCGCCCCTATTACATAAACTTATTTCCCAGTACCCAAGTTCACGCGGAGTAATACAATGGTGCGATGGCTTGTGCAACAAGGCAACTTCTCGAAATCAAATCATGAATTAGGAGCGGATAAACCGGGCAATGGGGAACAATTAAGTTTTACCCAGGACAGTAAAATATTCGTCTTGATTTTGTTTAGATTTGAAGGCCACGGTTAGAAATAGAATGCACAAGGTCAAATTAAAAACGGATTTATTTTTGATTATTCTCTTGAGCTTCCTGATAGGTTAGGTTAATGAATTGTTTTAATGAATTAATTAAACTTTATTTGTTAATGAGTTTCTTATGAAACTGATTATCTATAGTAATTTCAGAATAGTGGCATTCTTCGCTTAAATATTAAATACCTATGTTATTTTGTTAGTCTGTCAAGGCCAAGAGGAAAGCACCAATGTTTATTTATAGATTAGATAGTTAAGGGGGAGACTTAGACCTCCGAGAACCTCACTCCAAAACTAAATAGGTCATGGTATCATTGTTGTCGTGGTGGCATATGTACACTACAGCATGGTTGTACCCACCAATAATAATAACTTTACACATTTCACACACGGCCGTCTGATTCCAAATCAATCAGAGCGTGCACTATGGTAACCAGACTGCTGATAAACATACTTATATATTTCTAAATACATACATATTATAGATAGATTACACCCAGACACAGAACACATCATAGTGCTCATCACACAATTATTTGTCCTGGGAATCGAACCCGGAGTCGTCTCCGGCTTAGCAGTCAGGGTCACTGACCACTGAACCAACAGTCCCTTTAACTAATATAGATTCACTTTACTAGGCATCAAACTTTCTAAGGAGAGGCTTATGTCTAGCAGTGGACTATTAAAAGCTGTTGATGATGATGATGAGGCATCAAACTCAAACTCAAACTCTCTTTATTTCATAAAATTTTCAAAATTGTTTGAAATCGTCTTTTATGTAGACTCTAAAGTCATAGATCAACACACACAAAAGCAACAATCTCTGTTTTGTCAAAAAGTAAGCAAATAAATTTAACAAAAATCAAACCCATACAAAATCTATGATATGCCTTTGCTGATCTACAACCGCCCATTTCCAAGGTGTTAAAAAGACAATGAAGAGAAAACAAGATTATAGGCGCATTGTTCTCTCAGTAAGTCGTTTAGTAATCATTATCATACTAGTTAAGACTAAAAAGAAAAACAAAACAAGAACACAAGATTAAGAAAAAAAAAGAATACAATAGAAAATGAAGTGAAACATAAAAAATAGAAATAATAATAATAAAAAAAAAACACACTAGCCACACACATTTTTACTTAAGAAAGAAATAGACTGAGCTAATTAATCCCAAGCGTTCTTGTCTTCCATGTAATCCACAATTGAGTAGTAGGCCCTCTGGCACAAGCCACGTTTTATTGCGGATTTAAATTTGTTCATCAATTAATAAATTGTGATTAATCACGAGGAGATAGTATAAAGCATAGTTAAAATGATACATTACAAGTAATGTTCAATCCCTGGCCAGCGATGGAGCCTGCAGCCACCACAACCATCCACCTGAATATTTGTTCGCCGAGCATCCTTCTTCTACTATTATGAACTAATTCTAATGAACTGTCTCATACGATGCACACTTCACTATTGACTTACTAATTACCTGATATTCCTTTAATTTTCTACAAGGTTCCGTATTCACTGACTTGAAACGTATTATTTTTTTTAAGTTAACCTACATTTAATTTTTAATTAGCCTGTCTATATTTACATATATTTATTTCAATTACGCGGTTTAATAAAGAGTTGAATAAAAAAGTAAAAGATCGGTGGTTCGGATATTTGACAGTGAATTTGTTTTTTGTTCAAGAAGGAAGGACACATCGTACATCATAAGAAAACAGAATACCTTTGGATTTTCCACGTTACATTTCTCAAAGTTTGGGAAAACAATTTCTAACTAATTAGCTAGAGACACTCGTAGGCTAGCGTGGTCAACTATTGTTTATTTTCAAAGCTGGTGGGATACAAATATGATAATGAAATATGATCAATGTTTCCGTACAAATAATTTAAAAACCGTTTCCATACAAACAACCAGACATTAAATACCTATTTATATATCTACAAACGAATAGACACTAAATACTTTTCTGAAAAAGTGCATTATATGTTAACTGAAGTAGAACAATACAAATTGTTATTGTTGACATACAAACTGTTGAATTCAAGTGTTTTGATGCAATATGTGGTGAGTATAAATATTTTAGAATTGAACCGCCACCTTTCGCAATGCCGAGTTACAGCGAGTCGCTCACTCTGTAAAGATGGAGCAAGCGCTTACGCATGGAGGACTCGACTTGTTCACGAATGAACGCCTTTGTACGGCGCCTAGATCATTCGGGCCAGGACTCTCGTCGCGCGCGATGATAGCTTTGAATACATATTCTTATACTTGTAATTTTTAGTACAGTAAATCTTTTTATAATCTTAATAATTAATTCATTTTGGCCTTTGTCATATTTATTTCATTCTCACCATAACATTCATTATTATCATTCTATTATCCTAATCAGTTGCTAAATTTATTTCTTCTTCGCTGTGCTTACGAAGCTTCGAGCTTGATACCCGTGCAGTGGAATTATACCGCCCGATCCAATTCTACATTGATGACCCCGACTACAAGCAGATGCAAGATACGTAGTGACGGCGAAATATTTGTTAATTTACGAACAGCAGAAAGGAATTTGGTTTAAAACTGGTTGAAACTAAAGAGCGGTGTAGTAAGCCATAAACGACGAGGGTGTTTTAATTTTTATTATGTCGGTTACGGAGAACTTTAGTGATGCTGACGGCAAAGGTGATATTCCTAATATCGGGCGCTGTATCGAGAGTACGGTTAGGTACCGTCACCATGCCCGAAATTTTGTCCGGAAGAACCAGCTCTTTGGTTTGCGCAGTTAGAAAAGCAGTTTATACCATCTAGAATAACTGGTAATGCGACAAAATTTCATTTCGTCGCTTCGCAATCAGGCCTACCTATTATGCCCTTCAAGTAAAGGATATTATTACCTACCCTCCAGAAACTAATAAATTCGAAAAGCTAAAGGAATAATTAATTAAACGCCTGTCTGCATCACAGGAAAAGCGGATACAGCAGATGTTGATCTATGAAGAGCTAGGCGATCATAAGCCATCGCAGTTTTTGCGGCATCTGAAAAACCTAGCAGGGCCTTCCGGAGCCTCAGATTTTGTGAAGAGTGTATGGACAAACCTGTTACCGAAAACCTTCAAACAGTAATCGCTTCCCAAATCTCCGATTTACAGGTCGAGAAAATAGGGTCCATGAAATTGTTAAAGAGGTGCTACAAGTAGCAAGCGCGGCTACAACTACCAGCAGCGCCATCAACGACGACTTAATCAAGCAAGTCAATGAACTAATTAAGCAGGTTGCCAAACTTACTACCGGGTTAACCAACAGAGATGTAAACCGTTCACGTCCACGCTCACGCTCACAGTCCCGCAACAAGACGTATGGTTCCCATAAACCCATACGTTTCAATCCTTCAGCAAAAGAGCTTAATCCCAACTTAAGGGGCGACGACGTAATTGTGACTCAGGACAACTCAGGAGTTGCAAAATAAAAATTACTGAGGTAGTCACTTACCATCAAGTTCCCCATCGGATCGTTTGCGCTCCGAATATAATAAGAGGAATAAGATACCAGTTCCTCAAAATAATGTTATCTCCAGCGATATTTGTTGATATTATATTGTTAAAGGAGTAGCGCAAATAAAAAATACATACGTAATGAAACTTATATTTCAATTATAACAAACCAACTAATTATTTTTACTGCGTAACCTTAACATATCAATTACAAATCTCCACAAAAATAGTTGTGGGCTGTTTGTTTTTATGGAGGCCTCTCTAATCTGTTTAATTTTGTAAATTCAAAGTTTCGACTCTCCGCTTCAAATTTCTGTAAGTAGGTTCAATGTACTCCCGTAATTTCAAAACTCACTGTATTCGCATTACACATGATACGCAACTTTGCAAATTAAATTGAATATATATTGTGTGAATATTACTAAACAAAAGTTTTAGGACTTACAGATGAAATGATGTCCTTACTTTGGACACTCTATAGCCCTGACTTTTATTACAACACGTAACTTATTTTACTTACTTACGTACTTATCATGGTTATTTTTTTTTTATCCAGCTACGTAAGTATCCTAGAGAAAGTAACTATGTTATAGGAGTAGGAAACGCGTTTTTAAGAAAACGCTCTTAAAAACGCGTTTCACCGGTTCACGCATGCGCGGTCACAACTTCACCGCGCACGTCTTACATCTTACTTATTCTGTATTGTGTGACACCAAAGTTTAGACGTATCTATTACAAAACAATTATAGTGATTGTTGAGTTGTGTACTCTAATCTTGTTTCTGTCGTGAGGTTAATGCCGAATATAACATAGTGAAGGGAATTTCAACTAACAAAGTGACTGGTAAAGCTAGCAAGTACGTGACGAATGTAGTTGTTATGGTATCTGCAGTCTGCAAATGTAAAGAAACAAATTAGAGGTAAAATATTTCCTGGTCCCCGTAACTCAGTATCAAGTATTTTGGGAATAGAATCTTACCATGCCTAGAGCATTCCTGGTGATTGGCTGTAGT